CGACCCATCTTGTACTCCATATATACGTGCACTATGCACCGATCAATACATCGTGTAGCATTGCCAAAATATTCGTTTCCAACAACGCGTGCACGCCCATCCATGAAACTAGCAAATTATCAGTAGTACCTACTGATACTATTTTTTCTCCAAAAAAGCTTCTAATTAATCTCGCCAAAATGCCCGAACTGGAAATCACAGCAAGGGAAGAATCACAAAACGGTCCGTACTGGAATGAATCCCTTTGCACGGCATGGCATGGCATCGGTGTGATTGTAGCATCTATTCGTTCGTCGTACAGGCGATCCTTTCGTGCTGGAACAGTGGGTGGCTTCACTCGCTCACGCTGCCGAATATGCTTTGCCTTGCCGCTCTCTTTCTCAACTCCCAAAAAAATATAAAAAGAAACAGTTTGCGCTTTGCAGCGGGCATACAGCCTAGACATCATAGGAGGAAACGGTCTCCCGGCCTAGAACCTTTCAACGGAGATGTGAACTGTAGTACTACGTCCAGCCTCGGTTATTCAGCGCCATTTTTTTAGACGAGACAACTCAGAGAAGGGTTATCGTCCAGCAGCCAACAAGACTCTGTCCGCCAAAGAGAACACCAGTCCCTCCCGCGTACCGGCGTGGAAGTTTCCACCCGCACGGCAGCCTCCCCAACAACCGCGCGCCCTCTCGTCGCCGACTCGCCGGTACATATACCTCCTCCCCCCGCCTCCTCCTCTCACCACCACCACCTCCCTCCGCCTCCCGCGCTCCATTTCGCACCTCCAACCTCCTGCTCCGACCTCCACCGCTGCTGCCATGGCGCGGCCAGGGCACTCCACGGCGTGGCTCCCCCTCCTGGTGCTGCTCTTCGCGGCGGGCGCGGCGGCGCAGAGCGGCTGCCTCTCCGCGACCTTCACGGGGGGCCGCACGTTCCTCAAGTGCAACCAGCTGCCCGTGCTCGGCGCCAGCCTCCACTGGACGTACCACGCCGGGAACGGCACGGCCGACATCGCCTTCCGGGCGCCGTCCGGCGCCGACGGGTGGGTCGGCTGGGGCATCAACCCCGGCAGCAGCGGCATGGCCGGCAGCAACGTGTTCATCGCCTCGCAGAGCGCCGGCGCCGTCTCCGTGCTCACCACCATCCTCCGGAACACGGCCCCCACCCTCGACAACACCGCCCTCTCCTTCGACGTGCCCGTCCCGGCCAGCGCCGAGTACGCCGGCGGCGCCTACACCATCTACGCCACCGTGGCGCTGCCGGGCAACGCCACGTCGCACAACACGGTGTGGCAGGCCGGGCCCATCTCCGGCGGCCGCGTCTCGCAGCACTCCATATCGGGGCCCAACGTCCAGTCACTCCAGAGGCTCGACTTCCTCTCCGGCACCAGCACCGGCGCCTCCAACTCCAGGCTGCACCGCCGTAACGTAAGTTCCTCTTTTCTCCTCCGGCCGCCGCCCTGTCTCCCTGCCTCCAGCTTGATTGCTAGGTTAATCAAACAACTCCATCTAGTAAACCAAGACAAATATGCTCTTGGTTTTCTTCAACGGCTCGATGCTCCATTCGCTGTCGAATTGTTTACATGTTATGTTAGGTAAGTTATCACAAGTCATCTAGAGGACGGCGACATTGGTCATGACCAACTATTTATATTTCAGAGCCCTAAAAATTCAGTATAGTTGGAGATAATGATCAATTATATTATTTCAGACCCCTAAAATTCAGTTTAGTTGGAGATAATGATCGAGAGCTGGTCAGTTGATATAATTTGGACCTGACATATAAAGAAGGCCTAGGATTTCAATAGTACGATTTGATGGGTTCAGCGATCTGATCCACAGATAGCCTGATAGGGATGGCAATAAACTTATCTCCTTTTGCTCATGCGTTCCTTGACGAACCATGGTCAAACTCAACTCTGAGAAGCAACAAGCAGCCTGCATGCCGGGGGAGCTGCACCTGCACCAAACCTCTGAATTTTCACCACCCCAACTTGAATTACTAGTAATAATATATTAATATTATTATGCAGTTAGCCGCCTACAACTGTTCAATCACGGACGCACTTGATCATTTGATCATAAAACATTGCAAGTAGAAGAGTAATTTAGTACAGTATTCATCAAATTCAGCCCAATGATCGAATTAATCACCTGAAAGACCAATGTTCCTCTTCTTGATTTTGGTCAAGGTTTAATTCATTTCGCCAACCCTAGCTAACCATGTGCACATATTATCCATCAACAGCTCCACGGAGTGCTCAACGGCGTGGGATGGGGCGTGCTGATCCCGCTGGGCGCCATGATCGCGCGCTACCTCCGCGTGTTCGAGGCGGCCGACCCGGCCTGGTTCTACCTCCACATCGCCTGCCAGATCTCCGGCTACGCGCTGGGCGTCGCCGGCTGGGGCCTGGGCCTCAAGCTGGGCAGCGAGTCCAAGGGCCTCACCTACACCACCCACCGCAGCATCGGCATCGCCATCTTCTGCCTCGCCACGCTCCAGGTCTTCGCGCTCTTCCTCCGGCCCGACAAGAAGAACAAGTACCGCGTCTACTGGAACGCCTACCACCACTCCGTCGGCTACTCCGTCATCGTCCTCGCCGCCGTCAACATCTTCAAGGGCCTCAACATCCTCAAGCCCGCCACCGGCTGGAAGACGAGCTACGTCGTCATCCTCGCCACGCTCGCCGGCGTCGTGCTCCTCCTCGAGGCCATCACCTGGGCCGTCGTCCTGCGCCGCCGCAAGCGCAACCGCGCCCACGCCGGCGCCAACGGGACCGGCGTGCAGCTATGATCGTCGTCACTTTGTCAGGATCGGATCGGCGTGCAGTTTTGGTTGCTGCTGCCATGTGTTTGGGAGATTCCATGTTTTTATCTTACTGTAGTACGTAGATCCTTTTTCTTCTTCTTCTTTTCCGACTTCTTTGCTGGCCCGCCATTGTATACATTCTTTCTTCGAGCTCATGTATGATTACTTTCATTTGTATGCATAGTGTATGTACGTATGGTGTCGATTTACATATGGCCCCGTGATTGCTTCTTCATCGATCAATGCCGTGATTTGATCGCGCGGACGAGATAACCCAAGTAGACTTCCGGCCAACGTCGGCTTCAATCAAACGTGCATCGGTCAGACGGGACAACAGGGGAGTTTTTTTAGAGGGGCGTCAACGTCATCAGCTCATCACCTATAACATAACGCAACAAAAAGGATGAATTCCACATATGCCACTTAAAACTTGCCCATATTCTCATCTGCCATTAGAAATTTTCCTCTCCCAGATATGCCATTAAAAATTTGCACCGCATACAAATATGCCACTATGGTCAGTTTGACCGTTAGTTAACTGTCAGGCGGCACTTGGAAAGACGATTTTGCCTCTGGTACTGCAGCGGTGATACACTGTAGCAGTCCGAACAAATTTGGTCACTTCAAATTTGCGGGCAAAGGTACTGTAGCGTCCACTTTTAAAAAAAAATGCCAGTTTTTTTGAAACAGTTTGTCTAATTCACATCTAGATGGTTCCTAAGGATGTCACATCTAAGCTCCCACAAATAACACAGCAACAAGGAAAAAAAAAGCTGAGACAAAAAAAAATAGACCACAAACATAGTGGACATTAGGTTAAATGTGACATAATTATGTCACATCTAGATGTGTCCTAGACAGACCCTTTTTGAAATCGCGAACAATTTTTTCAAAAAAAAAGTGTTAGAAATTCAGAATTTGAAATTACGGAGATTTATTTTGAAATTCAAAAAATTGTTCGAATTTCAAATCTGTCCGGATGCTACAGTATATCATTGCTACAGTCAGACACCCCACAATTCGAGATTGGCCAAATTTGTTCCGAATGCTGCAGTACCAGGGGCAAAGTCGTCTTTTCACATGCCACTTGACAGTCAACCAATGGTCAAACTGGTCATAGTGGCATATCTGTGCACGGTGCAAATTTTCAATGACATATTTGGGAGAGGGAAATTTTCAATGGCAGATGAGGGTACAGGTAAGTTTTGAGTGGCATATATGAAATTCACCCCAACAAAAATGAGGACCATCTCTTCTTGTCTTGTCTTCCGAGTTTGACAGCTTCATAACCTCGTAGAGTCATAGGGGCCTGGGCTGCACGGAGAGTGTGGGGATCGCGAAAACGATGGTTCAAGATGTCCTCCTCGAGGCAATCTGACCGGTTGTTCAAAAGATCTCTTGAAAAAAGTTGCTGATGAGATGGGTTTAACTTTAAGTAACTGAGATGTCTCAAAGGCCGTAATAATGGCGTCGTGAAAATGATGCTGAGATTAGTTTTTCAGTAAGTCGCTGTGCCAAGCGGAAGACTATGTGCTACGTTGACAAACACTAAATACGAACTGCCGGTATTCAACAATAACGTGCAGCGCTATTTTCTCCCGCAAAAAACAAAAGGAAAACAAAAACGTGCAACGCTATTTGTGATGTAACCTTCTGCTGTTCCGCGCGAGGCAGACGTATAATCGCTTTTTCGAAAGTTGAACATGCCAATGGTAAACCGCCCTTGCATTCTAGAGTGCATAGCAAAAGGAGTATGCGAGCATGATGCTCCGTTGACGTAGATATGACACTACTTAGAAAGAGTCCAGTTTCCATCCAAAATATGTTGAATAATTGAGCAATTTTTCATCAAGTTTGATCTATAAAAAATAGGGCCGTCTACATAAATTCGAGGCCCGATGCAAAACAGTAGATGAACATGGTAATCATAATTTATATGATGAGCTTAACATAGTGATGTAATTAGCCATGAAGTCGGGTACATAGCAGACAAACATCGTATCCATATCGATTGCTAGTACGACAGTATCTAGAAAAATCCGAAACATAAGGGATAGGAGAGCGTATGGCGCGGTGGAAGAAGAATCGGTCGCCATGTAATCGAGCAGTTGTCCGCGGCCATGATGAAGAAAAGCCGAGCAGTCGCGGGAGAGAGCTCCTCAAAAACTTCCATCCCTCTCTCGTACAAGATCACAAAAGACAGCGTCTCGAAGGCCTACGTCGAGGAGCGAGATGGGAAAGCGGTAGGCAGTGCAATGCTGAGGACATATTTGTGGGCTAATTGTAATCCTTTCATTTCAAAATAAAAGGTACATTGCTTTTTTCGAAAGTCAAACATTTATATGTTTGATCAAGCTAAAAATAATATCAACATCTAAAATACTCTCTCCGTTCACAAATATAAGTTTTTTTAATTTTTTTCTGAATATGATGTATACAGAAAAGTTTTAGTGTGTTTGTTCACTTATTTTAGTCCGTGTGTAGTCCATATTAAGATATCCAAAACATCTTATATTTGTGAAAAGTGGGAATACCAAATATGGAATGAAATGATGAAAAATACCTTTGGAATGATAGTAATCCAATACTTTTTTTTACAAATTTGACCAAGCATGAAAAGTTTGAGTTTCAAAAATTATAGTACATCCTATATTCTACTCCTATATTGGATTTTCAAAACAAATGAAGTTCGTTGGGAGGGCATGGCAAATCGAACGTTTTCATGTCAATTTGTATTGTCCGCGGATGGCAAATTTCTTTAGTATGAATGGAAAATCCGCTCAGTTCAGATTTTCACTAGGTTTTGTCGTGCTTGCTGAAGAAATTTGCCATTCTTATGATAACATAAATTATCATAAAAATCATTTGTTTTGTCAACACCCTCCCAGTGAACACCGGGACAATAAATATGTCTCTTTTATAGTATTTTAGATGAATGGGGAAGTATTTTGGGGAGTACCAAAGTATTTTAGTTGTAATGAAACATTACTTATTATGCAACTTTGCAGCTCATGCTAATTTTGTTGTTGTTCCCTTGCAAATAATCCGTTCTTGTGAAAACTATCTGGAGGATAGTTATGCCCATGTGTTGTGTTCCTGGTCACTCTGTGCATTTGAAAACCAAACCAAAAATAAACCGAACCGAATCAAATTTATGGTTTTTATGGTTTCTGGTTTCGGTATGGTATGAATTTTTCATACCGATTTGAACTTTGATTTTTATGGTATATACCGAAAAACCAAAGTAAAAAATAATTTTATGTTTCTTGTATGAACAACCATACAAGTTGTCATTCTTCCTGTACATGAGTCAAATTCACTACTAAGCACGTAATTGCAGTTGCCGTGTATGTTTATCTGATTACCACGTACACGCAACTGTAGTTGCCGTCTAGCAATCGATTCATAGTTGCCATGTGTGTTTGCCTAGTTGCCATGTACGCGCAACTGCAGTTGCCATCCAACAATGTACGACTGTCATGTGGGCGAAAAGCAGTTCGCCCACACGCACGTGGACTAGGTGGTGGCTGTGTGGGCAGAAACTAATTCGCTCACACAGCGCAGCTGGCAACCGCGTGTTGTGGCGCGTGTGGGCGACCTCTGAACGCCCACACACCAGCCTTGTCCTACGTGGCACGCGAAAACTGCCTCGGTGTGTCAAGATTCATGCAAACTTAACCGGACGGTGATCCAGACGTGTGAGCGAGTTGCAATGTTGCCACAGGTGTGGGCGTTAGTGTTTTCGTAAATATTTCTCTTTTATAGTATTTTATAGATGGATGGTGAAGTATTTTGGGGAGTACCAAAGTATTTTAGTTGTAATGAAACATTACTTATTATGCAACTTTGCAGCTAATGCTAATTATGTTGTTGCAATTTGTAAATAATCTATACTTGTCAAATCTACCGGGAGAGTTTTTTCTTTTGTGAGGAAGTTCCTGCTCCACTCCACACTCCACAGACAGCACGCGCTGCTGAAAACCCTCGTCCTCACTCCCCACCAAGGCGATGCCGCCGGTGGCGACGGCCTCAACCTTGGGCAACTTGGGGGTCGCGGTGATGAACGAGAAGCTGCTCCACGAGCATGACCTACACGAGATGGATGCGCTCTACCGCCGCTTGCTGAACCGCACCCGCCCCGCCCCGCCCGTCTCTGCTGCAGCTCGCCTCTCTGCCC